TCTTCACAATATTTATTCTTCCAATCCATGAGCATGGAACATTTTTCCATTTCTTTGTGTCTTCCTCAATTTCTTTCATGAGTATTTTATAGTTTTCTGAGTACAGATTCTTTGCCTCTTTGGCTAGATTTATTCTAGGTATCTTATGGTTTTGGGTGCAATTGTAAATGGGATCGACTCCTTAATTTCTCTACTTCTGTCTTGTTACTGGTGTATAGAAATGCCACTGATTTCTGTGCCACTTTACTGAATTCCTGTATGATTTCTAGCAGTTTTGGGGTGGAGTCTTTTGGGTTTTCCACATAAAGTATCATATCATCTGCAAAAAGTGAGAATTTGACTTCTTTGCCAGTTTGGATGCCTTTTATTTCTTTTTGTTGTCTGATTGCTGTGGCTAGGACTTCTGGTACTATGTTGAATAGCAGTGGTGATAGTGGACATCCCTGACGTATTCCTTTCCATAGGGGGAAAGCTGTCAGTTTTTCCCCATTGAAAATGATACTCGCTGTGGGTTTTTCATAGATGGCTTTTATGATATTGAGGTATATACCCTCTATCCCTATACTCCGAAGAGTTTTGATCAAGAAAGGATGCTGTACTTTGTCAAATACTTTTTCTGCATCTTTTGAGAGGATCATATGGTTCTTGTTTTTTCTTTTATTAATGTATTGTATCACGTTGATTGTTTTGCGGATGTTGAACCAGTCTTGCAGCCCAGGGATAAATCCCACTTGGTCGTGGTGAATAATCCTTTTAATGTACTGTTGGATCCTATTGGCTAGTATTTTGGTGAGAATTTTTGCATCCATGTTCATCAGGGATATTGGTCTGTAATTCTTTTTGATGGGGTCTTTATCTGATTTGAGGATCAAGGTAATGCTGGCCTCATAAAATGAGTTTGGAAGTTTTCCTTTCATTTCTATTTTTTGGAACAGTTTCAGGAGAATAGGTATTAATTCTTTAAGTGTTTGGTAGAATTCCCCTGGGAAGCCATCTGGCCCTGGGCTCTTGTTTGTTGGGAGATTTTTGATGTCTACTTCAATTTCCTTAGTGGTTACAGGTCTGTTCAGGTTTTCTATTTCTTCCTGGTTCAGTTTGGTAGTTTATCCATCTCTAGGAATGCATCCATTTCTTCCAGATTATCTAATTTGCTGGCATATAGTTGCTCATAATATGTTCTTGTAATTGTATTTCTTTGGTGTTGGTTGTAATCTCTCCTCTTTCATTCATGATTTTACTTATTTGGGTCATTTCCCTTTTCTTTTTGATAAGTCTGGCCAGGGGTTTATCAATCTTAGTAATTCAGAGAACCGGCTCCTAGTTTCGTTGATCTGTTCTACTGTTCTTTTGGTTTCTATTTCACTGATTTCTGCTCTGATCTTTATTATTTCTCTTCTCCTGCTGGGTTTAGGCTTTATTTGCTGTTCTTTCTCCAGCTCCTTTAGGTGTAGGGTTAGGGTGTGTATTTGAGACCTTTCTTGTTTCTTGAGAAAGGCTTGTATTGCTATATACTTTCCTCTTAGGACTGTCTTTGCTGCATCCCAAAGATTTTGAACAGTTGTGTTTTCATTTTCATTGGTTTCCATGAATTTTTTTAATTCTTCTTTAATTTCCTGGTTGACCCATTCATTCTTTAGTAGGATGCTCTTTAGCCTCCATGTATTTGAGTTCTTTCCGACTTTCCTCTTGTGATTGAGTTCTAATTTGAAAGCACTGTGGTCCGAAAATATACAGGGAATGATCCCAGTCTTTTGGTACTGGTTGAGACCTGATTTGTGACCTAGGATGTGATCAATTCTGGAGAATGTTCCATGGGCACTAGAGAAGAATGTGTATTCTGTTGCTTTGGGATGGAATGTTCTGAATATATCTGTGAAGTCCATTTGATCTAGTGTGTCATTTAAAGTCTTTATTTCCTTGCTGATCTTTTGCTTAGATGATCTGTTCATTTCAGTGAGAGGGGTGTTCAAGTGTCCTACTATTATTGTATTGTTGTCAATGTGTTTCTTTGATTTTGTTATTAACTGGCTTATATAATTGGCTGCTCCCATGTTAGGGGCATAGATATTTACAATTGTTAGATCTTCTTGTTGGATAGACCCTTTACGTATGATATAGTATCTTTCCTCATCTCTTATTATAGTCTTTGGTTTAAAATCTAATTTGTCTAATACAAGGATTGCCATCCCAGCTTTCTTTTGATGTCCATTAGCATGGTATATGGTTTTCCACCCCCTCACTTTCAATCTGGAGGTGTCTTTGGGTCTAAAATGAGTCTCTTGCAGACAGCATATCGATGGGTCTTGCTTTTTTATCCAATCTGATACTCTTTGTCTTTTGATTGGGGCATTGAGCCCATTTACATTCAGGGTAACTATTGAAAGATAATGAATTTAGTGCCCTTGTATTGCCTGTAAGGTGACTGTTACAATATATTGTCTCTATTCCTTTCTGGTCTATGTTACTTTTAGGCTCTCTCTTTGCTTAGAGGACCCCTTTCAATATTTCTTGTAGCGCTGGTTTTGTGTTTGCAAATTCCTTTAGTTTTTGTTTTTCCTGGAAGCTTTTTATCTCTCCTTCTATTTTCAGTGACAGCCTAGCTGAATATAGTATTCTTGGCTGCATATTTTTCCTATTTAGTGCTCTGAATATATCATGCCAGTCCTTTCTGGCCTGCCAGGTCTCTGTGGGTAGGTCTGTTGCCAATCTAATGTTTCTACCATTGTAGGTTACAGACCTCTTGTCCCAAGCTGCTTTCAGGATTTTCTCTTTGTCTCTGAGACTCGTAAGTTTTACTATTAGATGTCGGGGTGTTGACCTGTTCTTATTGATTTTGAAGGGGGTTCCTCTGTGCCTCCTGGATTTTGATGCCTGTTTCCTTCCCCAAATTAGGGAAGTTCTCTGCTATAATTTGCTCCAATATGTCTTCTACCCCTCTCTCTCTTTCTTCTTCTGGGATCCCAATTATTCTAGTATTGTTTCGTCTTATGGTATCAGTTATCTCTTTAATTCTGCCCTCGGGATCCAGTAGTTGTTTATCTCTCTTTTTCTCAGCTTCTTTATTTTCCATTGTTTGGTCTTCTGTATCACTAATTCTCTCTTCTGCCTCATTTATCCTAGCAGTTAGAGCCTCCATTTTTGATTGCACCTCATTAATAGCCTTTTTGATTTCCACTTGGTTAGATTTTAGTTCTTTTAGTTCTCCAGAAAAGGTTTCTCTAGTATCTTCCATGCTTTTTTTCAAGCCCAGCTAGTATCTTTATAATTGTCATTCTGAATTCTAGTTCTGACATCTTACTAATGTCCGTATTGATTAGGTCCCTGGCAGGCGGTACTTCCTCTTGTTCTTTTTTTTGAGGTTATTTTTTCCTTCTTGTCATTTTGTCCAGAGGAGAATAGATGAATGAGAGAACAAAATGCTAACAGGGTAACAATGACCCCAGAAAAATATACACTAAACAAATCAGAAGAGACCGTCCAGAAAGTGGTCACTTTTCTGTTCAGAGAGTTGCTGCTATTCTTTTCTTCGATCTCCTGTTGAGTTCACAGGTGTTCAGAATGGTTTGATACCTATCTAGCTGAATTCCTGGGACCAGACGAAATTTAGGTTTCTACTCCTCCGCCATCTTGCTCCTCCTCCGAAGGGCTATGGCCCGGCCTCCAGCGTGGAAAAAGCTCTTTCTTGATGTTATGGGACTGGGTGTTTTTTATATCCCCCACCCCTCAACTCCCTGAAACTTTATGTATGATTTTTATGATTGGGGGAGAAAGTGTAAAGATGCTCTTTGAACTCAAAACCACTAAATAGCCCTCACCCACTCATCCTGCCCTACGCCTTGAATAAGGGTGTTACAGAGTTAGGGCTGAGGGTGAGAAAGAGAGAAGAATGGTATAGTGTAGATCGATGTGACCTACAGGGACATCATGGAGTGAAGAACTGAGTGTTAGAGTCAAGAGTTAGGGACAACAGAAGGAAGAGAGTGGGAATAAATCCAAGGGGAATATAGTAAAGCAGCCCTGCAGGCTGGGTGCTTTGAAGAGGTGACATTGAGTTGAGAAATAAGGGATATGATTTCCCTAGTTTTTTATTTCCTTAATTTTTTAAAAATGTCATTTTCATGTACTATAAATGACCTAAATGTGGAAGTAAAGTTAGATTGTTTAAAATCAATATACTGGATTCAGTGCTACAGAAAATCTTGCTTCCTGGATTTGTAACTGTGATGCAGAAATGGTAGGGTTAGAATCAGTGGCTGAATCAAAGTGAGATACCCTTTAACATGTTCATGCTATAACATATATTTTGAGTCTGAGCTTTAGTTTTATTTATGTTCAGTTTTTATTATAGGCTAGTTAAAATAATTATTCAGTCTTTTAAGAAATCATACTGTTTTTGAAATTTAACTTAAAGAAATATATAATTTAAAAGCTTTGTTTAAGATGTTGATGATAAAGTTTAAAATTCAGATTCTTTCTCACTGTGGCCTCCAAGGCACTGCATGATATAGGACTCTTGTGTAGCTCTCTAAACTTGTCTTGTGCCCTCCTTCCCCCTTGCTTCACTTGGCTTGAGACACAGTGGCCTTTTTGTTCCTCAGACCATTTCCTCTTTGGGCTTTTTGCACTTAACTGTTCTCTCTGCCTGAACTGTTTTCCTAGGCTCTTTGCATTGATGCTTCTCCTGTAGTTCTCACCTCAGAGAGCTTCCCCTGCTGGCTGCTTTATCATATTCCCCTTTAATTTCCTTCATAGATAGAACTCACTCAAAGCTGAGATGATCTGTTTTATTCATTAGTTTATTTGAGAGTATGAAAATGTGAACCTCCTGAAGGCTCAGGCCTTAGTGATCTTGTTTGTGGTCATATCTCTGCTATGTAAGTGAACTGTCTAGCTACTAGTAAGTTGTTCAGTACTTTTGAATGAATGAATCAGTCAACAAAAGGAGAGAAGACCAAATTTAACTGGCTAATTCTGTGCTTCTTGATCTCTTTGTACGCTAGATCTTCCTCTAATTGACAGCCTGATTCGTGTCTTACAAAACATGGAACATTGTCAGAAGAAACCAGAGAACTCGGCAGATTCTAACATGGAAGAAACGAAAAAGTCTGACTTAATCCAAGATGATTTCCACTTGAAAATCTTAAAGGATATTTCATGTGAATTTCTTTCTAATATTTTTCAGGTTTTAACAAAGGTAGGAAAGAAGTATTGATGGTTTCTTCAGCAGAAGAAAGTATGGATTGCTTAATGCTCCAAACTTTATTATCGCTGTATTTTTTTAATATAAAAGTAGCATAAAGGGACACCTTGGTGACTCAGTTAAGTGTCTGCCTTCAGCTCAGGTCATGATCCTGGGGTCTTGTGATCGAGCCCTGCATCGGGTTCCCTGCTCAGCGGCAGTCTGCCTCTCCTTCTCCCTCTGCTGCTCCCCCTGCTTGTGCTTTCTTGCTCGCTCTTTCTCAAATAAATAAAATCTTTAAAACAAACAAATAAATAAAATAACTATATTACATAAATTTGGGGAAATAGAGAAAGAAAAAATTATTACTGTAACTTTATAATCTTAACGCAGCAACTGATATGGTTTGGTGTGTTTATATATGTGTTTTTCACATACTTAAAATCCAGTATATAGAATTTTATAGAGTGCTCTTTTCACTAAACATTATGTTATGAGCCTTTTTCCAGACTCTAAATTTACTGAAAGACATTTCACTGAGAACCAGTTTAATACCCAGTTTGTCAAAAAAATCAGTTTTCATAATTTACTGCAGACTTGTTTTAGGGGATATTCTTCCTGAATATGCTTGGAATTTTTAGCATATTCTTCCTTTGGGTGTACTTTCTATCCATGTATTTTAGAAAAAAATATAAATATAACTATGAAGAATATATGTACATTCATTGCATTTTTTTAAGAATATTTCTTAAAAGAAGTTTCTGTTATTCTGGTAATTTGTTTTTTTGGTCAACTATTCTGCTTTTCTAGATAGGGGTTATTACTTGAGCATAGATTTTTGGAAGTTAGCTTACTGGGCTTGGTATTGTACAAGTGAAGATGGCTGAGGCTTAATGGCTGCATATTGCCCAAATAGGTTTATGTGAAAATGTTGGCTTTATAGGATTCTTATTATCAGACATTACAATTTTTATATCAAGTAAAGTTCAGTAGGTGAGAAATTGTTCCTTATTTTGATTTGTATTTTTTATTAGTAAGATTGAACAGTCTTTCCATATATTTGTGGGCTTTTTTTCTTTTAGATTTTATTTATTGGAGAGAGAGAGAGAGCAGGAGTTGGGGAAGGGCAGAGGGAGAGGGAGAAGCAGACTCCCTGCTGAGCAGGAAGCCGGACATAGGGCTCAATCCCAGGACCCTGGGATCATGACCTGGACCGAAGGCAGACGTTTAACTGACTGAGCCACCCAGGCATCCCCCCATATATTTGTATATTATCTGTGTTTCCTACTTTATAAATTTATCTATTTTGATTATTTACATGAACTCTTTGGGCAATAATAATATATTTTGCATATTCATTGCATGTGTTTTTCCCATTGTTTGCTGTCATCTTTATGCGTGCTTTTTGTTTTTGGAGGAATGTTTATTTTTAAGTGACAGAAATATAGGAGGGTGGACTGAGAATAAACCAGGGATACGTCATGAAAATTCTTATGTGCCATACCTAATGGAATATGGATTTAATTTTGAGGACTGAGGGGCTACTGAAGGTTTTGTTTTAAGGATCAAGTGAGATGGTCTGTTTAGAAAGATTACTCCAGAAGCAAGAGAGGATTAGAGAGAGTTGAGGCTGGAGGCCTGCAGACCAACCAACAGGCTCTTGTGGGTGGTAATAATCTTCAAGAGTAATCTGAAAAATAATAAGACCCCAAATAGTGGGAGGGTGGATGGAAAGAAGAGGAGGGATGAGAGAGATTTAGTAGAGTAGAATTAAACTCTTAGGAGGAGGGGTCAGCAGCAGCAGAGGAGGAGGAAAAATCTTGGCTGTATCTTAGGTTACTGCTTTGTGTAGCCGGGTAAGTGGGTGGCAATGCCCTTTCCTAAAATAAGGATTCCAGTGGAACAGTGTTTGGGTTACGTAAGGAGGAATGACGCTGGGCTCAGTTTGAGACATTTGAAATGCCCGTAGGATCAGTAGGGAATGACATATACTGATTTGTATTTATTAATCAAATAAAGCTTTAGAAATTTTCCTTTTTTATTTTTTAATTTTTTTAAAGATTTTATTTATTTATTTGACACAGACAGCAAGAGAGGGAACACAAGCAGGGGGAGTGGGAGAGGGAGAAGCAGGCCCCCCGCCGAGCAGGGAGCCCGATGCGGGGCTCGATCCCAGGACCCCGAGATCATGACCCGAGCCAAAGGCAGTCGCCCAACCAACTGAGCCACCCAGGCGCCCCCAAAATTTTCCTTTTTTAACATTAAGTCTTTGTTTGTTTGTTTTAGGAGACTGTGGCTCAGGGACTAAAAGAGGGCCAGTTAAGCAAACAGAAGTGTTCCTGTGCATTTGAAAACCTTCTTCCTTTTTATAGTCCGGTGGTGAGTATGAGTAAATGTATAGGGGGCTGAGTTTTATAGGATTGCTATATGTTTTTACATAAGTGCTTGATCTCTGAGCCCATTGTCAAAAAAGATCATGCATACAATTCACATGACTTGGTGCCTTCGTCAGATAGATGACTGCAGGGTAATTCATGGAACTAGCCTGAATAGTGGTTGTAATTTTAAGAGAAAGGCATCAACACTGAATTTATTGGACCTCTTACTGTTATAAAGTAAATAGCATATACATTAAGCAAAAATAAGATTCTTGGGTAGAAATGATCATTAGGTTTTTAATTCTTCAAATTCCATCACATTTGCTACCATTAGAAGCAATTTTATTTATTTATTTATTTTAAAGATTTTATTTATTTGTCAGAGAGATAGCACGCACACACAAGCAGGCGGAGCAGCAGAGAGAGAAGCAGACTCCCCGCTGAGCAGGGAGCCCGATGCGGGACTCGATCCCGGGACTCCAGGATCATGACCTGAGCCGAAGGCAGTTGCTTAACCAACTGAGCCACCCAGGCGCCCAGAAGCAATTTTAAAATAGGAACTTTTTTTAGGAAAATGAAGTGTGGAATGTGGGAGTGAGAGGCCATGTCAGCAAAGAGGAGGGTAATAAAACTCAGTAATGGATGCTAAAGGGGAAGCATTGGGAGTATAAATCATAGTTCAAGGGTAAAACTAAACGGTAAGGGCTAGTCACTTTGATGTTTCAGAGGACTACCTGGGAATGACTGTTGTTGTCATCTGGGGATCTGTCAACATTTCTTTTCTTTTGGACTCTTTAGAAACCATAGGTAGAACATTTTTATAGTAAACAACTGGTATCTTAAAATCACTTTTTCTTCTACTTATATTTATTTTCTTTTGTTTGACCCACAGATAGGAGACTTTCTCAAAATTCTACATGAAGTTGATAAAACTCTTGCTGATGACCTGGAGGAAAGATTCCCAAGTTTGAAGGCTCAGACTTAAAACACTGAATTGGAGTTTCCTCTGCCCAATAAATGAACTTTACTTTCTGCACTGACAGTTGAGATTGACATATAGGAGATGTTAGGTAAAGCCTATTGGACCCTCATTGTCTGGCATTACACCCATACATACCTTCTCCCTGCCCCAGTCTCCTCTCACTTTCATTTGGCATTGGAATCTGGAGTTTCCGCTGCTGTCATTCCACCCCCCCACACACACTTTTTTTTGTATGATTTTGTGTTAGTTGTCCTCTTTAGGTAAAGAAAACAAAAATACAAGCTTATTATTGAAGTTCTTTCTAGGTTGAGGACTTGGTAAGGATTTTCTTCATACCTCTTAATTTGATTTTTACGTGAGAATTTTGTATTTGTTTCCACTGCAAGCACATTCAGCTGCACTAGTAGAAAACCCTACTCCAAGAGCTTAATCCGATAGCTTTTATGTATCTAATGCAATAAGAAATCCAGGGGTGGGCAGTCTAGACCTGATTTGTTGACTCAGGGATCCTGATTCCTTTTACCACTCCATGTGGATGTGGTCTGCGTGTAGACCTTTGTGTTCATATTTATTGTCTTGTGGTTAAAGGGGCTGTAACATCTCTGGACCTTCCATCCACATTCAGGCAGGAAAAAGGAGAAAGAGGTAAAGGGGCTTTGTCATTGGAAGTCTTTACCTTCATATTTGTAAAGGACAGCCCTCACTGCCCAGACCTGTGCTGATGGCCATCTCTAACTGCAGCTATTTGAAATCAAGTCTTTTTTTTTTTTCTTTCTAGGGTCTATAAGAGAGAAAGGCACAAAGAGAAGGGAGTTGTGAAAGGCTTTTTGATAGTCTGTGATGTTTGCTACAGTATGCAAGCACATCTTAGCCTTTTGTGATTATTGTGTCGATGGTATGCCAGATTGTCAGTAACATCTCAAAAGCAGTTTTTAGTTTAGCTTTGTTACAGTTTAATTTTTTTTTACCGTTGTAAGTATGAAGATATGAAGATAGAAATGTCACATTTTGATGAAAGCACATTAGCAAATTCTCTATTTTCAGCGTAATTCCAGTGGTTGAATTTCAGAAAATGATTTGAGTGAATTCAGATTTTTTAAAATTAAGATGGAGGGAGTTTAAGAACTTCAGACTCTATATGCAAACTGCTATACGTGATTTCCCTCACATATACTTTTATCCTTCTGTATAGTGCTTCAGAATGAGATCTGTGCAGAGAGTCAGCCAGGTGTTCTTAGGGAAGCGGTTTGCATTATTTAGTTACTAAAAGGAGAGTTTTTAATAGATTTTAAGAAAATAGCAGTTACGAATAACAAAGCTAGCTTTTTACCAGTCTTCAAGTAGTCTTCTGGGTTATTTACGCCGATGTGACTGTTAATCTAGTTTTGTTTGTGGGATGAGGTGAACTTCGGATCCTCTTACTCTATCTTTCCAGCCTCCTTCTTTCCTTAAAAAGCAAAGCCAGCTTCTTAAACCCCTCTTCTGGCATACAGCCCCTTCTCAATTTGTTGTAGAATGTTTCTAGCTTTAAAGCATTGGTCTTGGGCGCCTGGGTGGCTCAGTCGGTTCAGCGACTGCCTTCGGCTCAGGTCATGATCCCGGAGTCCTGGGATCGAGTCCCGCATCGGGCTCCCTGCTCAGCGGAGAGCCTGCTTCTCCCTCTGACCCTCCCCCCTCTCATGTGCTCTCTCTCTCATTCTCACGCTCTCAAATAAATAAATCTTTAAAAAAAAAATAAAAAAAGTAAAGCATTGGTCTTGTCTCACATTTTGTATTTTGTCCTTAAGTGACTTTTGCTGATACAACAGAGGATGTAGCATTACTGAGAAGAGATATACAATTTCCAGTTTGGAGGTAGTTTTATTGTTGAAAATGTTCCCAAATTGAACTATAAAGTTAAAATCTTACTGTTAACTCTGATTAGTAGGTTTACGCTGTATGTTTTCATGTCTTCCATGCTGACTGTATCCGAGGCTGAATGTGACTGTATTTAACATGAGATCTCAAAGGCACTACTGATAAAGTCACTCTTGCCTGTGTAAGCAAACTAATGTGAGTTTGCTCCTTGGTGAGTTACAGATTGAGACTATACCAGGTGGAGCTGTCACACAAAGTAATCTTTCTTTGCAGCAAATGAGATCATGGAGAATAACTTCCAAAGCTGTGATCCCTGAGCAGGGGTAAAGGAGCTCTTTTTATTTAGGATTTGAGAGAATATTCAGAAGGAGACCTTTATCATTGCAAGCACAGGCAGGTATAAGGTCACACATGTGCAGACTTAGAAATTATGCATATACAGGCATCGTGTGTTATGTGAGCAAACTTGTGGTCCTTCTGGAGCAGAGATCTTAACAGTATGATGAGGCAGAGGTAACTGTTAGACACTTTATGGCCCATCTGCACAGGTGTTGGCTTGGTGGTTGAGCCCAAACTGGCTGCCCGGAGCTCATTTCTCCTTCTGTTGTTAGTTTCTAACAGATAAAACCACCAGTTCCTATAGGGTGAGCTCAGTGGATCTGCCAGTGACACCTGCTAGCCAGTGCTAAGAATTCCATTTTATCTCTTGAAGTTTAAGGTGAAAGGTACAAATAACCCTGTAAGAGTAATACTCCCGAGTTATTAGTCATGTTTACTTCAGTGCATATGAATTTCACATTTTGTTTTAGAAGGAGCACATTTTAAAAGGGAAGCCGAAGGCCCCTGGGTGTCTGAGGGAAAGAGTGCTACTCAAAGTGGGTAAGTCACCAAGGGAGAAAAAGGGTATACCTGAGAAGGCTAGGGATGTCCGGGTTATTTTCTGTTTCCCATTTCTGCCTTGGACCTGCCCTGTTACTTGTTACTAATTGCTCTTGTAACATTATGAGGTAGTGTATATTTTCATATTTTGATATGTTTGAAAACTTCCTAAATCTATAAATTATAATAGTTTTTTAAAGGAATAAGATATGAGCAATGCTAAATCTTTTTTAATGCTATACAGTCTGATGAATCACCCCCAAAATTTAGGGCTTGCATTAATGACAGTGATATTTTGAAATGGTGCTTTCTCCAGGAGCCTAAATATGAAATTTGGAATTATATGTACAAATGAAATTCAAACTTTTCCTCTACTTTGTTTCAGAGGAGGGGAAACGTACAAAATGAACTTGGGTTAACATTTGTTAAATGTGTTCTATTTCTAATTAAATTTGAGTTTGATTTTTGAAGTATCTAAACCACTTAAGACCAGGGGCACCTGGGTGGCTCAGTCATTAAGCATCTGCCTTCGGCTCAGTTCATGATCCCAGCGTCCTGGGATCAAGCCCCGCATCAGGTTCCCTGCTCGGCAGGAAGCCTGCTTCTCCCTCTCGCACTCCCCCTGCTTGTGTTCCCTCTTGCTGTGTCTCTCTCTGTCAAATAAATAAATAAAATCTTAAAAAAAAAAAAATGTTTAAACCACTTAAGACGGAACACATAGGACATATTCTCCCACGGCCCCTCCCCCCGTGGTCTGCACAGAGGTACGGATGGAAGAGGCCATGCCACCTGTAGCAGACTTGATCGTTGTTCTCAGGTCTTCACCTCTGGGTACCCATTCTCACGCCATGGCTTCTCAGCGGGTAGAGTATACTCCTCTATTCCTTGACTTTGAGCTTGGCCACGTCACTTTGCTTTGGCCAATAGAATGTTGTTTTTCTTTTTTCACTTGTTTAAATATATATTTAATTCCATATTAAATACCTAATTACTTGTGCTAAATAACAATCAAGAAAAGGAAGAGGACTGATGTACATCTGTAATCTATAACTGTATACACACGTACATATGTGTAGACACAGAAGAAACCCGACCCCAAACATAAGTCAGTTAAAAGCAATTTGAATTTTTCATTCTTCACTCATTTTGGTTAATGAAGGTTTTACTTTAATATACATGAGTGTATAGGTGTGTGTGTGTGTGTGTGTGTGTGTGTGTGTGTCTGATGTTTTGATACAGTACTCTGTTAAGGGTCTACGCCTATGCTGTTATCAAGTGCAGTATCCTCTAGACACATGGCTACTGAACGTTTGAAATGTGACTAGTCCAAATTGAGATAAATGTAAAATACATATTGGACTTTAGGAAAAGTAATAAGAAAAAAATTAATATAATATTTTTCATCAGTGTTTCATATGGATTACATGTTAGATGATAATATTTTGGATATATTCAGTTAAATACATTATTAAATTTAATTAGATCTTTTCTTGCTACCTTTTTAAATGTGACTACTAGAAAGTTTAAATTATAGGGATTTAAACTTTATTTTTTTAATTTTTCTGAATTATTTTTGCTTTTTTATTTGCTGACAGATTTTTTTTTATTAACACTAGTAATGTATGAACACCATTTTGATGTTTTAAAATCCTAACAATACAGGAAAGACCAAAATCCTTTTTCTCTACCCTCTCTAAAATTCCTAGCCCCTCTTTATGTATTTATATAATGGCCAATAGAATGTTAATGGAGCTGATATAAGCAGAGTACTTGAATGTACCATTCTTTTTTAAGGCTTAATAATATTCCTTTGTATGTATATACCTCCTTTTCTTCACCTGTTTGTCGGTGGACATTTAGGTTTGACCCCTGTCTTGGCTTTGTGAATAATGCTTCCATGAACATGGGAGTGCAATCTCTTTGAGATCCTGATTTCAGTTACTTTCGATATATACTCAGAAGTAAGACTGGATCAATGGTAGTTTTATTTTTTTAAAGATTTATTTATTTATTTTAGAGAGCGAACGTGCACACTAGTGGGAGGGGCAGAGGGAAAGGGAAAGAGAATCCTGGTGCAGGGCTCAATCTCACGACCCTGAGATCACTATCAGCCTAAACCCAAGAGTTGGACGCTTAACTGACTGTGACACCCTATTTTTTTTTTTTTGAGAAACTCCATAATATTTCCATAGTGGCTGCACCAGTTTACATTCACAGTAACTGTACACAGGTGTTCCCTTTTCTGCATATCTTCGTCAATACTTGTTATCTTTGTTTTAATAATAGCCATCCTATAACTGGTATGAAGTGAAGTGATACCTCATTTTGGTTTTGATTTGCATTTCCCTGGTGATTAGTGATGTTGAGCACCTTTTCATATACCTGTTGGCCATTTGTATGTCTTTGGAGAAATGTCTATTCAGTTCCTTGCCTAAATTTTTATTCAAGTTCTTTGGGTTTTTTGCTCTTGAGTTGAAGTTCCCTATATATTTGGATATTAACTCTTTTATCAGATACATGTTTTGGAAATATTTTCTTACATCCTATAGGTTGCCTTTTCGTTTTGTTGTTTCCTTTGTTATGCAGAAGCTTTTAGTTTGCTGTAGTCCCACTTGCCTAGTTTTGCTTCTGTTGCCTGTGTTCTTGGTGTCTTTTCAAGAAGTGATTGTTAAGACCAATGTCAAGAGGCTTTTCCCCTGTTTTCTTTGTGGAGTCTTACCATTTCGGGTCTTACGTTTACATTTTTATCCATTTTGAGTTAATTTTTATGTATAGTGTTAAGATAAAGGTCCAGTTTCCCTCCTTTTTGTGGATATCCGGTTTTCCCCAACACAATTTATTGAAGAGACCGTCCTTTCCCCATGGTGTATTCTTGGCACCACTGTTGACATTAGTTGACTGTGTATGTGTGGGTATATTTCTGGGCTCTCTCTTTGGTTCCATTGGTCTGTGTGTCTGTTTTAAAACAATTCCATTTTTAATAGCATCAAAAAAATAAAACATTTAGGAATAAGCTTAATCAAGGAGATGAAAGACTTGTACACTGAAAACTATGAAACACACACAAAAAATTAGGCAGACATGACTAAGTAGAAAGACATCCCATGATCATGAATTGGAAGAATTAATATTGTTAAAATGTTCATACTACCCAAAGTAATCTATAGATTCAATGCAATCCCTATTAAAATCCTAGTGGGCATTTTTTTTCCCACAGAAATAGAAAAAAAAAATCCTAAAATTCAGGTGGAACCATAAAAGAGTCCAAATAGCCAAAGCAATTTTGAGCAAAAGGTGCAAACCTGGAAGCACCACTCTTCATGATTTCAAAATACATTATAAAACTTTTTAGGGTTTCATGAATGAGATCTGAAAAGTCTCAAGAATCTGAAAATTCTACAACTACATTTATTTTTCACTAGAGATAAATTAAGTGAAGATACACCAGACTTGATACTTCACTGCAGATATGGTTTGTACTAGAACATCGAGAGCTCTTTAGCTACAGCCCTACTATATACCTTTTGCTGCCTCTAAATACCTTTCCTTATGAAATGGTTTTAAATTTACCTTGGAAATACCAGCTTTCTGTGCTCTACTGCTAAGGCTACAGCATATATTCATAAAAACTTTTCTGCTCACTAGGACACCTCGTTAATTATATATTGGGCTTATATCAATATTGGGCTTGTTGACATGCGGGCTGTTTAGGAGTTGAAGCCTTACTCAGACCATCTGCCAATCCCTGCCCATTGGAAATGCTTTTCCCTATTACTGTAATGAAATCACTAAAATCATTTCCTGTTCCTGGTCCTTGTTCAGATCTTCTATCTATTGTCAATAAGAGGATATTAAAATACTCAGGAAAGTCCACA